GAAGCGTTTTAATATTTGGTTTGAGGTGCGTATTTTTGAAGCGTTTTATTCTTTGGCTTTGGATGCATATTTTTGAAGCATTCTAATGTTTGGCTTTGGATACATATTTTTGAAGCGTTTTAATCTTTGGCTTTGGATGCGTATTTTTGAAGCATGTTAATGTTTGTTCAAGGTCCTTTAGTGCTTCTCTTGGGGGGAAAAAGGGCGCCAAGCCCCCAGCCAAGGAAATAGCCGGCCTTTTTCCTCCTTCCTTCTTGGCATGTGATTTCCGGAGCCAAGCCCAGGGGGAGGAGGAGGAGGAGAGTCCCAGGCAGCCTTCCACCTCCAGAGGCGACAAAGTTGCAACCTGGAAGTAAGTCAGACTTTATTAAAACTTTGTAAAGTGTCTTTTTGCGGCCTCCGGATTCGCCGAAATTACTATCCGTCGCCTTTCTGTCTCCCAAGTTTTTCAGAGAAAGAAAAGAAAGGAACTTGTGAGCCTTCAGTGCCCTGAGAAGTTTGAAAGAGGAAGTCGAAGTTACCACGCAGAGCTCTTAAAAGAGACCTTTTAGGAGACTGTTCCCAAACGCATTGCAGAAATAATCCAGTTTGAGACCGCTTTAACTGCCCTGGCTCAATGCTAGGGATCCCTGGGAATTGCACTTTGTTTTGTCCCTGGCAGAGAAGGCTAAATGTCTCCCGAAACTACAGTTCCCAGGATTCCTTAGCATTGAGCCAGGGCAGTTAAAGCAGTTTCAAACTGGATTGTTTCTGCAGTGTGTTTTGGACCTATAGCTTCTGTTATTTCCTTCCCATGATTATGGGACTTGTGGTCCCAAGAGTTAACTTTCCCAAAATCTTTTAAAATCATCTCTTATTTATGTCTCTTTCGGAGAGGTTTCTCTTTCATTTTGTTAAGAGCTGGCTGCCAGAAATAGTGCAAATTGAGTCCACTTTAACTGCCCTGGCTCAGTGCTAGGGAATCATGGGAACTGTAGTTTTTTTCTGAGACGTTGAGCCTGCTCTGTCAGAGAACTTTGGTGCCACAATAAACTACAGTTCCCATGATTCCCTAACCCTTAAAGTGGACTCAGTTTACACTATTTCTGGCAGTCTGCAAAGGCCCATAGTTAGAGAAAAGAGGAAACCAGCATGAAAAATAAAGATATTTCCTGAATACTCATGTGTCTAAGGCAGGGTGACCAGACGTCCTCCTTTTCCAGGACACGTCCTACATTTCAACCTTCTGTTCAGGAGGAATTCCAAAATGTCTCCATTCTGAACTTTCAGACTGTCAGAAATTGTGCAAATTGAGTCCACTTTAACTGCCCGGGCTCAGTGCTAGGGAATCATGGGAATTGTATTTCTTTCTGAGAGATTGAGCCTTCTCTGTCAGAGAGCTCTGGTGCCACAATACAGTTCCCATGATTCCCTAGCACTGAGTCAGGGCAGTTAAAGTGGCCTCAGTTTGCACTATTTTTGGCAGTCTGCAAAGGCCCTTAGAAGCATCAATATTAGTGTTTCTAGCTTTTGTTTTATAATGCCCTCCATTTTGCATGGATGTCCTACATTTTATGCTGCCTTATCCTTTGCAGCGAGGACATCGGGTCACTCTTCTCTAACCTCCTCCTTCTCCATTCCTCTTTTCAGTGGTCATGGATCCATTTTTGAGTCTGCTGAATTCAATTTCAAGAGCCCTCTCACCAAGTGAACTTGAAAATCTCAAATTTTTGTGCCAGGACTTTATTGGTAAAAAAAGGCTCCAAGCAGTGCAAAGCGGCAACGAACTCTTCACCCATCTCCTTGAACAGGAGAAAATCACACGGAATCAAGTGGAATTCTTAAGATCCATGTTAAAGACCTTGAAAAGAGAAGATCTGCTAACTCAGCTGGCCCAGTTTCTTGAAGGTGCCAGTGGTGAGCGTGTTGACCCGCTGGACATTCAAGAAAATGGTAGGTGGGAATCAGAAGGAGGGGTTGTGGTCCTTGGAAATCTTGTGTCACAATGAACAGGTAGAGAGGATGACCACTTCCTCGGAGGTAAAGAAACAAAGGCTGCATCCGCACTGCAGAAATAATCCGGTTTGAGACCACTTTAACTGCCATGGCTCAATGCTATGCAGTTCTTGGAATAGTAGAATGGTAATTCTGGAAATTGTAGTCACAACAAACTACCTTTCCCAGAATGTGTGCTGGACCACAACATATTGCTGTCTGAGGTGGAGGCCTCTCCTCCAAGTACAGAAGCTGTCTGGTGTGGCTTGAACATTGGCTTCAACACAGGCAGTGAGGTGGCATCCTCTTTTGTCATGTCTGAGGCTGCAGGCTAGTTTAGAGGGCCCAAGACAGATTGTGGTGTAATGAAAACAGCATGGAAGGTTGTCACTGCTCTCTGCCGCCGCCACCTGATATCTCCTACCTGGTGTGGTCATCTAACCCTGAAAGACAGTAATATCACTCCTGAACATTCAAAAGAATGTGTAAATCCGTTAAGTCGTTCAGGTTAGTTTAGAATGGAGTTTTTTTTCTGCATGGCAAAATAATAAGGTGACCTACACTGTGTATGAGGGAGACTTCACTGTGAGACAGGCATGTCTTGGCCAAGTGAAGACACATAGACCTCTCCCATCTTATACTCGCAAAACTGCTGCTATACTGGATGGCTCCCAATGAACTGTTGAGAGGAGAGCTAATGTTAAGGTTCAGTGTCACAAATGGAACTGTAGTTTCACTATCTAATGCTTGCTTGATGCGGAGAATAAATGTAATGAGAAGTACTGGGGAAGCAGGGGGATATGATCTGTCAATCAGTCACTTTATTTGTATCAGTTGGCCCAGTTTCTCGAAGTGCCAGTGGTGAGCCTGTTGACTAGCTCGACCTTTTCGCCAAGTGGGACTCAGGGCATCCTACAGAAGAAAGGTACAAGTAAAAACACATGTAGCTGAAAACATACCAAAAATTAAGATTAAACTAATATTAAACTCTCTTTAAAAACCATGTAACACATTAGTTTAAAAGAGAGCCAGCATGGCATAGTGGTTTGAGTGTTAGGACTACACATCTACAGACCAGGGTTTGATTCCTTGTTCAGCCATGGAAACCCACAGGGTGACCTTGAGTAAGTCACATCTATCATCTCCATGGAAAGGCAATGGCAAACCTCCTTTGAACAAATCTTGCCAAGAAAACACTGAGAGGTTTGCCTTAGGATTGACATAAATTGGAAACAACTTGAAAGCATTCAACAACGCTAAAACAGAAAACCCATTACAGATTGAGTCTCCCTGAAATGTTTGGAATCAGCAGTGTTTTGGATTTTGGTTTGTTGTTTTTTGAATAACTGTATTTGCATAATGAGATATCTCAGAGATGGGACTCAAGTCTAAACACAAAATTCATTTGTTTCATATACAGAGATCCCTTGCTACCTGCGGAGGATCTGTTCCCTCCTCTCCTCCCCCATGTGGATAGCAAAAAATGTGGGACTTCCAGTCCTGTTGTTTTCAATTGGTGTGCGCCCATGCACATGCACCCATTCATAAATCCAGGACTTGCCATCCACAGCAGCTCAAATCCATGGATGGCAAGCCTATCGTTGGTGCAGGCACACTGTACGCCTAATACACATAGCCTTAATGTAATTTTATACAGTATTTTAAAATAATTTTGTTTATGAAACAATGTTTCTGTACACTGAACCATTGGAAAGAAAAGATGTCACTATCTTAGGGGGGTTGCAGACTGCCAGAAATAGTGCAAATTGAGTCCACTTTTAGGGTTAGTGCTAGGGAATCATGGGAATTGTTTTTTTTTTCTGAAACATTTAGCCTTCTCTGTCAGAGAGCTCTGGTGCCACAATCAAATACAGTTCCCATGATTCCCTAACCCTAACCCTAAAAGTGGACTCAATTTGCACTATTTCTGGCAGTCTGCAACCCCCCTTAGTCACCCATGAAAAAAGTTTTGGTTTTTGGAATATTTTGGGTTTTGGAATGATAGATAAGGGAGGTTCAACCTGTATATAAAACAATCAGTTCCCAAACAGTTGCTGAAACAGAAAAATCTTCACTTATGGCAAAAGGGCAGCAAGGATGGAGCCAGCCTAGCCTCCCTAGAAAGAAAGTTTCAGATCAGCTACAGAGAAGGGCCTCTCCTGCATTCCCACAAAAGTATGCCTGTAAAGATGATGGAATTGTGAGAAGCTTCTTCCCCAACAATCTTAGAGTTCAGGTAGCTGATATGGGAAGATGCAGTCTGTAAGATAGCCTGTTCTTCTCTTAAGGATCTCTCACAATGTAGTCTGGAACATGTTTATTCAAAAGTCAGTCCCACTGTACTATGCAGCTCTGACTCTCAACAAGTGCACAAAAAATTACTCTTTGGTCCTCCAGAGGTTTTCAATGTCACCTTCCAGAGATCCTCCCAGCATGGCCAGTAGTAAAGGTTGGTAGGAATTGTAATCCAAAACATACCAAAGGTTCCCCATCCCTGGTCTAAATCCATGTGTATATAAATTTATACTGAAAATATGTTCTGTATTCTGTGAGGGATGGTCTGAAGCAGAGCCTAAACACCCCATGCTCCCAAACTAGAGTTGTCATATAAAAAGAAAATCTTCCTGCACTATTTAGTGAATCCCTATCTTTATGTTTCTCCATCACACAGTGCCACCTAAATCAATTGCTTCAAACTGCTGCATGGCATGGTTGAATTCTTTCAGCCTAAATTCTTTCTTACTGTGTAAGTGGAGGTACATCCACCTATTAGAACAAGCACAGGAACAAGTGCTGATAAATTGCTGGCAGCACTGGTAGCATTCTTAGGCAGACATGCCATTTATTTCTCTTTTTTTAGGAATAGCAAAAGAAAAGACACAGGCAGTTTATTTACCACAGGATTTAAAAAGAATCATCCATTTGTTACATTTCTATAAGAATGTAAAGTTATGAGGATCTACTCAGGAAAAAAATGGTGTCATTTTTGGGAAGAAAGAAAGATTGAGAAGGGAGTAATTTTTCTTCCAGCTCATCCATTTTGGATTTTTCTTTTCTCTGCATCAGTTTGCCTAGGAGAGACATAGAGAAGGAAGAGGGGCCAAAGAGTATACCTATGTGTATGTTTCAAAAAGGCTCTGTCAGAAGAAGAGTTGGCACGTGGTTGGGAATGGAGGATGGCTGACAGGTTGCAGGTTGCCACCCCTTAACAATAGGTTGGCCCTGTTTATCATCTCATGAAATGTATGTACAACCAGGAATATTTACCACCTTGATTTCAAAACAGATCATAGGCTTAAAACCTTTTAAAGAGAGGTGGTTAGGTGGTGAAAGGTATTTGTTTGTGATAGTACATTATTTTCCTCAATAAGTATATCCTGTATTTAGCATGCATTCTTTTATGATTGACCATTTGCAAGTATGATTGCTGAGGCACATATTTCTAATGAAATCACATTATGGGATAGAAAATGTATTAATACAGGAAGTGTACATTTATTTTAGCATCTAGTTTGGTCATCAGTATACAGGAATGGGTTGGGTGGTGGCAGATACTGGAATAAATGAATGTTAAATTGTAGCATCCAGCTGACTCATAAACAGACAAGAGAACCCAGAACATCCTCTGGAGCATGAACATAATGCCCCACTGCAATCTGTTGATATGACAAATTGTGATTTCTTTTCTAGATAATCTCAGCAGAGCTTTTGAAATCGTATGTGAAAATGTTGGAAAAAACTGGAAAATGCTTGTTCGAAAACTTGGAGTTCCAGAAATCAAAATAGATCGAATAGTAGAAGCCAATCCACGCAACTTGCAAGAACAACTGATGCAGTCACTTTTAGAGTGGCGCAAATTGAAAGGGAGAGAAGCCAAGGTTGATGATGTCATCAAAGCCCTCAGGGACTGTCGCATGAACCTCGCAGCAGACTATGTTGAAGAAGGTTTACGAAGGGAAAGCTGAAACTAAAAAAAAAAATCAGTGGAAGAAGACCATTAATGTGACATTAAAATTTAATATTTGTACAGAAACCGACTCTTTAGTTGTCATGGAAAGCTTGAGGTACAATCCATTTACAGTACTGTATTACATGTAAACTGACTTGCTGTCTTAACTCAGTGGAATTAAGGCTGCTTATGCGATTTTCAGTCTTGTGCCTTGCTCAGAGATTGACAAGTGTGAAGGAAATGTGAGATAGTTTGATTTCAGTTAGATGTCACCATGGCTTAGTTCGGACCTTCTACACTCTCACCTCAAGAGCCAAGGAGAAAACCAAAGCACTCCAAGAAACACAGAAAATGGTATACCAATAGATACTCCCCCCATCTGTGCCAAATCACCAACTCCCACTCATCACAGGCCAGTGTGCCAATAGTAACTCCGTACCAGTCAGGTAGGTAAACAGCTGAAGCACACCTATGATTTTCAACCAAAGCTGGGAAAATGTCCTTTTCTAGACTATAGCTCCCAGAATCTCCCAGCCAGCATGGCTCTGCTTGTACATTATCCCACTTTGCACGTACACCACCAGATCTGCAATTGCATGAATCTGTGCGGCCTGGCTGCGAATCTGTGCGACCCAATGACTGCAAGCCTTCAGAAATCTCAGGAGGTTCAAATCCCATTGTGCAGTTCACAAGCAGGCTGCATGTAAGCATTGTTTTGATGGTATAATACTAAGAGAAGGGAACAAATGGGCAAATGTAGCAGAGCACTCAAATAACTTCTTTTGAGAGGAGGTATCCCTGGGACACTTTTTTTAAAAAACCCATTTATGTCAATAAGATAATATAACATGTATGTTATCACAGTTTATTATTATAATGGAAGCTTAGTTTTAAAACATCCAGAATTCTGAAATGATTTTTATCACAAAGTCCCATTGCTGTAAAACTTTGATAGGCTTATAAATTAAGAGAACTTATATGCTCAGACATCTTCTGGGGCTGGTAAATTTAGCAGCAAAAATGGCTCCCTCCCATTCTTATTGTAATCCTTTTATCGGCCTGCTTTTACTTCTTCCCACTCCTTCAATCAACTGCCTGACTTGTCTTCTTCAAAGGCACAGGAAATGTCATCATGTACTAAGAATGCCTTGTATTTCTGGAGCTTAATTTCCAACATGAAAGATCAGTGTCTCTCAATTGTCAAGAATTTACTCCTGCTCTAGAGTCTTCAGAAAGGGATGGGGAAAAGTGTAACACAGGCTGCATTTATATTAATGGCTTTGTGGCAATGAAATTTGTAGTGACTGTAGTGATGAGTCAAAGGCAGTCTGTAGATGCTCAAAGGCACACCATTCTCTTCAATCTTAACTGGTACATTTCATGAAGAGTTGGGAAACCAAATCATTTCTTTTCTTGGAGGTGGAAACCATTTCCTTACTGCTACCATCCACTCCAAACATATAATTCAATCCACAACTACCTCCAGAATCCAGTAGGAGCCTAGGAGAGTGGTTTGCATGGTGAACTCCTTTTTATGGGTGAGGCAAGAAATGCCAAGGAAGCGGATGTAAAGTACTGGTACTCTAACCTTTGGAATACCCATTGGAAGCAATGAAAGTGCATTCTACTTGTGCTCAGGAACACCCTGAGAAATTTTAAAAGAAAAAATTTAGTAGTGGAGGAGTGGAGTCAGATGGAGGCCCTATAATTCCTGCAAGTGCACAGGGGAGAAGTTAGGCCCTTTCATATGGCTGTCACACCAAAATTTCCATAGATGTTGAAAGTTTAATATGAATGCATCTACATAGTAGAAATAATGCAATTTTATACCACTTTAGCTTCACCCTGTGAAATCCTGGGATTTGTAGTTTTATAAGGTTTTTAGTCTTCTCTGCCAAAGAGTGCTAGTGCCTCACAAAATGATAAATCCCAAAATTCTGTAGGATGGAGCCATGGCAATTAAAGTGGTGTCAAACTATTATTTCTATAGTGTAGCTGCATCCTGAATCAAGAGAAACCACTAAGTAAGGCATACAAGCTTAGCCCTGTTTTTCCTTGAATGTGTAACTGTGTGTTACACCCTTTAGGAAGGACCTAAAATACCAAAGACATTTGTCAGAATTCTATATGACCTCTTATGATGCATAACAT